ATCAACGTTATGCGTGTTAACATTTTTAAAATGCAATAACGATCTTCTAGAATAATGTTGGTTTAAGCTTTAATCTTGAACCAGAACGAAATCGAGAATATAAATTCCCATTATATCATTCTGAAACTTAAACTATCAAAACACAAAATCAATCCTTGCACGAAGAATAATGTTTCATTCTTGTGTGTTCAGATAAAGTAAATCAAATAAATCATAAACAATAAAATAAAAAAACTAAGAGTAGAACCTAATTCTCCTTCAACTGATACCCAGAAAGATATTGAAATGGCCATTGTCAGGCAGCTAAACCTTTTTTCATGAGTATTCTCGTCTTTTAAAAAATTTCGTACTCGAGTACTTTTTAGAAAATACTCGTACTCGAACTCATACTCGACGCCCAGTACTCGTACTCGAGAATCTGCGTACTCGCCCATCTCTGTGTTGCGCATCCTTGGGAGCTTTTCTTCGCGCTAGTTTATAAGGAACTTTTTTTCACATGTATATCGAAACCCAAGTTTGGTCTTATTTCAAGCCTGTACCCAATCTATTATTTAAACCATTAATATCTCAAACAATAATGCAAAGAATTCTCTACAAAACTGCTCATTTAGCTCACAGGACTAGATCGCAAAGCATTTTGGCAACCTTTTCATATAATTTTGCTAACATGACGCTGCCTTATCCTGGTGACTCTTTCCCGTGCCATGATCTGATCTATCGCCCTACTCCATATTGAAAATATTGTTCCCAAAACTTGAATACCAGTTTCTTTGTATCCAATTAGACTGAGGTCCTTAGGAAGCCAATAGTAACAGTAAAAGATACTACGTTGTTAGAGCCTCTCTGATGAAGTCAGATGCGGTTACTGTCTTTGTTGCTCTAAAACTCGTCCTGAAGCATTTAAGACATGTTCGGACACAGCAGCAGTTGCGAGCAAACTGAATAGTAAATCATCAACAAAGAGTGTCCAGATTTTTACTCCATTGTGGTCTTTGTCATCAGGTTTTTCACACGTTGGAATGATTTCATTTTCTATACAACTGTTCAATCCCGGTATTCCCTCCTTTTTGACTGTGACGGACGTCGTTCACATATGCCTTTGAGTACTAGCCTGACAACGTATTACATTTTGAGAGTTTTGCGTCTACAGAGCTCTTCAATGATATTGAGAAAATCTCAAGCTTATCTTGTGTTGCAGTTCTATTTTATATGTCAAATGATGTCTAGAACTCTGTCTTGAGACGTTCGAATCAAACGGAGCCGAGGGCGACGAAATTGTAGCACAAGTTCTAATGTACTTGCGAAAGTCACTATCTCGGAAGCTGAACTCTTAAGGCGAGATTCTATACGTTATTTTACATATAAGATAGAAAAAACTTCGGATCTGATGGAAAGATACGTTTTATCTCGCGTGATCCGTAATCAAGACTGGATGATGGAAATGGACATTATCAGTAAATTATCTCGAATAAGTCAGGCACAAGTTCATACACTAATATTTTTAGATTTGAAAGATCTACTACTGTGTTATATAGTTGATTTGCGTTTAGAGACTTCTAAAAATTGTTCAAGCTCCACTCAGTTATTCGAGTTCTATGACGGCCGATTAGAAAAACTAACCATGATGCATTCAGTTTCAGACACTGACGCAGACGGAGCTTTCAGGTGGTGAGGTACCTAATTTTGACAATGCCATTTGGTGGTATTCTTGTAACGAAGCGCCTATCTTTGATCAAATGAACAGTATTCTACGTTTGGAAAACTTTGAACTTCTCATGTGTCACCGCTATTATATAAGTGATCTCTGCCAAATGATCGGGCGATCGTATGCGCAAAACAAGCTTTCACAAAAGCTTGTTGTCTACCGAGGAGATAAATTAAGTCGTCCAGACTTCAGCATTACAGAACAATCCAAAGAACAGGAAGATGCGACAATCACCATCAACGGATTTATCTCAACGTCTCGGGACGAGAAAATCAGTCTCGAATACGCAGAAGCAAAACTCAAGAAACGTGGAAATGATGTTGTTATTATGTATGAAATCACCATCGATCCAGCGACGCCTTGCTCAGCTTTTGCAGATATTGAATCAATTTCATTTCATCCTCGAGAATGAGAAATTCTCTTTAATATGGGTTCAACATTTCAAATCGATGGGATTGAGAATGATCCAAAAAACTCGGAAATAAAACAGATCAAGCTGACCGCACGCGACTTCAATCTTACTCTTCTGGACGAAATGAAAGCAAAAGTAAAACAATCTTCTCAAGCTACTCTCAGCATCTTGCTCGTCCGTTATCTAAATGAACTCGGTGAAGATAGAATCAGCAAGCGTTATTTGAATCAGATTGTCGACAGTAAGCAGCTTGAGAATGATCCTAATTTGGTGTCAGTGTATAATTGTCTCGGAACGATTCATTTCCGACAGACTTTGTATGGTGAAGCTTTGGATTACTATCGAAAAGCGCTTAACACCCAAGCACGATTACAATTCTCCAATAACAATGCTCTGGCCGAAATCTTCAATAATATTGGTCAGACTCATCTTGGACTCAATCACTTAGACGAGGCTGAGCAAAATCTCGAAGAAGGTATTCGTATTCAAAAGCGAGAGGCCAAACATGCACAACAACATCTTGCTTCGCTTTATTGCAATGTGGGCCAAGTCGCTTACGCTCGGCAGGATTATGACGAAGCTGAGAAACACTTTCAGCTCTCCTATGATTTGTACAATCGAAATACCAAGATTTCCCATGATGCTCTGGGAAAACGCTTACTCAAAGCTGATTTGTGTATTGCTTTTGGTCATCTTAAAAGCGTACAAAATCCAAAAGATCCAACGGAAGCTAATGAAAAATTCATCGAAGCACTGAAAATTTACGAGTCGACGCTGCCTTCTAGCCACCCAAAAGTGGCGGAATCCCACATTGATATTGTTTGCGAATACGCTCGCAATAAAAAGTTTCCATCAGTTATCAAATACCAAAATGAAAATTTTATGGGATTGTTGAAAGACTATGAAGAAAAACCAGCCACCAGTCAACAAGATTTGGCCACTCTCTGTGCAATCATCGGTGCTTGTTTTGCACACGAAGGAGAATCTGACAAGGCCATGGAAGCCTGGAAGAAAGGCATTGAACACGAGCAAAAAGCGTTTCTCGACCAACTTCTCTCCTCGATTCGAGTCTCAAAAGTCGAATTGCCCGCACGGTTGGTCCAAAGTGCATATCGTGTGGCACTCGATCACTATACGAACACAAAAGATGCCTCAAAAGAATATCTTGGAATCCTTTATGCAAAAACGTATATGTATGGCCAACCCATCGGATCTCTTCGAGGACAAAATTCGATTGTTCTTGCAAACATTTACATTTTGCAACGGGACTTCAAAGAAAGCATGCTTGTTTACAAATGGATTCTAGGACTCAAAGCCTATGATCTCACACTGCTTATAGGAATACCCTTGCAAATGTTGACAGCAACAAAGACGACTGTTCCTAATGAGGAACCTATCGAAGAACTGATTCGAACTGACAAAATCTTGGCCAACAAGTTAGCGGATAACGAAGTGATTCGTCTGCGTATGATTATCAACGACTGCCTTGCGGAAACTTACCTATCACTCAAAAAATACGACGAAGCCCTTCAGCGTTCTCAAATGTCATTTGAATTGAAACAACGTCATTTCTCTTCTTATCATCCCAGTCTCGCGCGCAATCGTCTGCTCGCCGCATCATGCAGTTTTCAACGAGGAGACTACAAAAACGCTGTGCAATACTGTGAAAAAGCTGTTGAAATTCAGCTGGACAATATGCCCAGTGGCCATGCAGATATTCGTTCAAATTATTTTCTCATGGGAGATTGTTACTGTAAAATGTACAAAATCGAATTAGCAACTGAATTCTACGATCGAGCACAAGCATCCAATGAGATCGATGCCGATGATGATCGAGAGATGAAACGAGATGTTAAAGCACTTATTCGTATGCATTCGAATCTGGCCAATGTTTTTGCTAAACAAAAAGATTTCGCTTCAGCACGCACTCATGAAGAAGAAAAGATGGACATTTTCAAAGAAATTCTCCCAGCGTTCATTGTCGAACTAATCGAAGATGAAGACGCTTCATCAACGACATTTGATAATCTACAGACAACATTAACGACTCGCTTGGGTCTTGCCAATGGAAAAACATTTGCTCAAGTTCTACGCAACTTTGTTTTCATTTATTCTTCCCTGGGTCGCGCTTTTCAAGGGGGAAAAGGCGGATCCGGGATCCCCGTAGAACCGCCAAGATTCCCACGGATCCGCCAAGATCCCCACAGATCAGTCTCAATATTTTTCCGCTAAAACAGCACAATCCTGTTCCCAAAACAGAACAGTCTGAGTCGCGAAACAGGACAATCGTGTTCCCGAAACAGAACAGTCCGGTTCTTTTATTGGGAGAATTTCCTGGATAACGGGACAATTGTGTTCTGTTCTGTGAATTCTTTTCCCACAGACAGAACATTTTTGTTTTGCTTGTGGGAACAGAGTTTTCCGGGACAGTTCAGTTCAATAAAATTGTATTCGCATGGATCCGCGTAGATCCGCATGGATCCCGGATCCGCCTTTTCCCCCCTGGCTTTATTGCTCGTTGATGAGCGAACTGATGACGACACAGACTCGAGTGATTTGTACGAGCAAGCAATTGAACTTGAATTGAAACTGACTCTGTTTGAAAAAGCCGAAGAAAAGCGCCTAGCGAAATTGTATGAAGAATTGAGCAATGCCTACGGGAAACTCTATTCCAGTATGGTAGAATCTAAATCTCGCAAAAGCACTCGATGAAACTACAAACGTTGACCATCAACGATCACTACAATTTCGCCTTGGTAATCTATATTTCGACGAAAAGGATTTTTCCGAAGCGGATCATTTCTGGAAACGAGCATTGAAAAAAGTATCAGCCACTCAAATTACTATGAAGACAATTATCGAGAAGTTAATTGAAAGGAATAAAGACAATTTGTCAAGCAACGAAGACGACACTGATGATGATGACGACGAAGAGGACGATGAAGCAGAATCTTCGGCTAAAGGCGAGGACAATGGAGACAATGCCGAACTCTCAGAACACACTGAAACTCCTATACGTGCCCAATCAGTCAAGTCTCAACGTCGTCAGTCGACAAAATCGGTCAATGGTAAAGAGAAACATGAAGAAAATGCTCAAGCTTATTTCGAATTGGAGGACGACGAGACTGCGCTGAAATATTTCAAAAAATATCTTGTTAAATCAGAGGAAAGTTTAAAAGGTTCCTGGTCCAACACCACAATCCGAGACGAACAATTACCAGTCGTCAAATTCTTTCGTTCTCTACTGACACATAACATTACTGCGGTTGTATTGTCGTCCTCGAAATCAAAAGACATTTCCAATAAAGATGTTTGGACAAATGTGCTGCAGGCCTACGTTCAAATGTTCACAATAGCCACGCGAACCGGCGATTCGTCGAATGAGATGACCAGAGTGTACTTTGCAGCATTTTGTATATGTCAAGAGTTGTACGACATGCCGGATAACTTGACTAACGCTTTCAATCTTCTCTTCAAAGGCGATTCAAATGGTCTTCAGTGGAAGCAATTAATATCTCTACTTCCACCTGATGAGTGGACGGTCGTTCTAATGAGAATAGCCGCACATCACATATCAAACGATGCTTGGCAAGATGCGCTGGAAATTTGTCGTACCCTTCAGGATACTATTCAAAAGAAAGAGACACTAAAGAGTGCAGTAAATTATGGTTTACTGAAACTATTTCAGTTGCATCTGGTACCTGATGAAAAATATCGGACAAATATAATGGCAGTAAATATTCGCTCGACGAACATGTCCATTTTCGATCGAATTCTCCTATGTCGACTCATCATTTCATTTATGGAAGCGTTGGAAGATGAAACAACCGCCAATACATTTGAAAAAGAACTACTCATTCTTCAGATAGAAGCATGGACGATCGTCGATTTGGAGACCACCAATTGTATTGGACATGTTCTCACAAAAGTAGAAGATCATGCTCTGGCTTCTCTATACTGGAACGAACTGCAAAACATCTACAATGAAATGTTACCAAAATTCATCGTTTCTCGTGTTTATTCAACAGACTCCGATTTCGAACAGATTCTTCGAGCGGTCCAGGAGATGAACAGCGATCTCTTTGACAATATTCTTTCTTTGGCTGCAAGCTACGAATCAATTGCGACCTACGAAGAAAAGGATGACAACTATGAAGATGCCGGTGGATCATTTAAGAAAGCAATCGTCATTTGAAACAAGATTCCCTCGGCTAAAGGAAAAGTCGAACAAGCGCAGGCGAAAGTCAACACTTTGCAGAATAAATGACTCACTTACACACATGGTCGCCATTTCACCGGATCACCCCGAAGACAGAAATGTTTATTGTAAAAATCAGTTTTCAAATAAATTGTGCATTTCATGTTCAGCATCATTTGTTTTTCAGCTTTATCAGTGAATCTCGTCTTCGCTCTCTTCTTTTAGAAGGCATATGTATCCAACCTCCAAATCATAAAGAAATGAATATTTTTTTCTCCTCTTTTTCCTTCACTATGCAACTTTTCTAAAAAGTGTTGCAAAGTAAAATATTTTTATTTGCTCACATCAAAAGTTTTGTTGCAACAAAATGGTCGTATTAAGCTGTATAAATTCATTATTTATAGGATGTAGAAGAACATCAAATGGATGCTGCCTAAGGTGGTAGCTTTTGGTGCAATATTAAGGTGCTAAATTCACGTTTGCTATACTAAAGAAACCTATCTTTCAAAGTTATCGAGTTATAAAAAACGCGGTGGTGTTTTTCTGCTAACTACTTACTGTAGCACGCCTTGCATATGGGCTTCATGTATTTGTGTTTTTGACTACGGCATTCACTAATAAGGGAATTTTCCGAGATGTCCGATCGCTTTCGAGCTCATCTTTGGGGTATAAAGTAGGACATCACGACACCTGAGTAGCCCGAAGTCCGTTTGTTGGTCTGGACCTCTGAAGCTCAGTTTGGTTACTTTATTGGATTTTCGGGCTATTGTAAGGAATTTTCGAGAAGCAAGATAACACAATTTCAATTTGACATTTAGCCCATAGATGAGCCTGGCAGCCCTTACGATACCCTGAAACTTACGTATTTCAACTACCACCTTTGTTTTACGATTCCTAATATATATAAAGGACATGATCTTTCCTTACAAAAGCTTAAAGTTATTCTCAAAAAGTTCTAGATATGTACAACAATGTTCACACTTTGAGAACATGTTTGTTCTTGACAATAGAGCTCTAAAATTCGACTCGAACCCATCGAGTCTAGTACTTACGATGACCTGATTCGCCTCAGATCGAATAAGGTTCCAAATGACGGTCGACTTGGAATGTGGGCTAGTCTACTTGTGCAGGTTTCCAGTTGGCAATATTTATACTGAATAAAAGAATAATTCTACATATGATCATAGATATCGTATTGAATAAAAAAAGTTGGCTAGTAAAAAGAGGCATTAAGATCCAGATAATTGAAAAAGTCGAAGAACAAAAATGTGTTTTTCGACATGATATTTTCTGAAAAACAAATATCCCAAATAGGGATCTAAGAAAATGAAAAACTCAATTTCTGTACTGAAAAAAATGAAAAAATCAGTTTTTTTCAAATTTTCAGAAAATTCACATCAGATTCCAATGATTAGATTTCGAGGCAGCTATTAAATCGATGTACGGGGCCATCTACTTCAGTCTCTGAAAGTCCAAGCATGAATATTTTCTTCACATACGGCAAGCGTTACCTTATCGGTAATATTCACAGGCGAATCATAAAACATCAACCGATCTCACTTTTATTGTGAGATCAAATGCTACTAATATGTTGAACCTCAATTGAGAAGTAGATGGGATAAGTCTGAGATTCAAGCTGTTTTAGAAATAACAATTAAGATTTTTCTAAAACTTCAAAAAGCTGTTAGCACAGTTTCTATGACAAGTAGAGAGCGTGTTCACAAACGAAGTTGTTGTGTACTTATTTTAAGCTCAGCCGCGAAACAAGTCTGAGGTGAATGATTCATCTTGATTGCATTATGTTCCCGAAGATAAAGCCGGGTAAAACATGGTGAAATTAGTATGTCAATTATCTTAAGAAACACTTTATTTTGAGAAATCTTCTCGTATCAAAAGTTTTTCTATCACTGTTTTTATATAGAAATCGCTACATAAGAGTTCATCGACCTCAGGATAAATTGTTTATCGGATTTTTAGGTGTCTGTAAGTGGAAGTACTTCAACTATCTCTTTCTATATGCACATGTCTTTAGGAAGTGTTTCTAATTGTATTAGTTGAAATTCTGCTGAGAAAGGTTAAGGTCCGTCTAACTGAGGAATTGATTCAGAGAATATGTGGACGGAAAGAACTTCTACATTCTACGGTTTCGGATGAACGAAAAACCAATATACTTGTTGTCGAAAGTGTAAGAAATCCTTGGATACTAAACCCCATAGTTTAGTAAACTCAGAAATCCTACTAGGTTGAATGAAAAACCCCACGGGTTTAGTAAAACACTATAGAGTTTTTCGAGTCAAAGAAAAACCCCAAGAGTTTTTTACCTGCTTCGCGAAATCTTTCAATCTTCAGAAAAAGCCCTATTTGTTTTGTTAACTATAGTTTAAAAAACCCTAGATTCAGTAAACCTTATAAACCCTTTACAAAACCTTTTAGGTTTTTAAGAACGACTAAAATACTCTGACGGGTTTAGTGACGTTTCCTAAACCTATTAGTAAACCCTTTGAGTTTTTACACGACGCTTTTTTTGAGAATGTAATATGCTCATCAAAAAAGCAAAAGGGCGACGATTGAGCCTCTCGCTTCGAGTCTGCTAAGATCAAAGTTGCCACTTAGAGAACTAAAATACTGAAGAACTCATCTTCAGTTCTCTCACTTGCTACAAGAAAGATCATCCATAATTTTTCGGTGCGTCTTGTACGTCTGGTACTCCTTTTTTAGACTTGGTTACAGCGTGTTTTACACGGATATTTCTTCGAGAATATAATGTAATCACGTTTCGACATATAAAATACCGTATTTCTTGTGCAAGGTATCAACTTCTTGGGTTGAAGGACACTGGAAATCAAAGGTTGCAGGGTCACAACAACTCTGAAGTTTTTATTCAGACAACTAACGCGCTGATTTCACCATGTTTTACTGGGATTCCTCTTCGAGAACATGATGCAATCAAGCTAGACCATTCACCTCAGGTTCACTTAGACACTCAATTCAAAATGCAGCAATTTCATTTCTACTACTATGTAATATAAAGTTTATACACTCTCTCGATTGCTGTGCACTTTTATGTAATTATTATTCAACTTATTCCAGTTTTCATCTCTTTTATAGATGATACGCGTGTTCACTGGAAAAGAAAACCGGAGGGTGTTTCACAAAAATTCAAAATCCATCTGAATTGATGGATTTTGAACCACCCACACCAGTTAATGATCTAAATTCTATTGCCACTAGCGCTCAAAAAGATACATCAGAAATGTCCACCCAAACTGATCAAACACTATTAAACACAATTTCATCTATACCACATCCAAATAGTCATCAACATATATATGTATCGAACGGACGTATCTTCTTTTCTCTTGTATAAGTCCACGTTCTTCACTTGATAGTGCAGAAACGTGTGCGAATGATGACTCATCATTCAAATCAGTTTAGACAAGATAACAATGGAAGATACCAAAATTGGAATTTAAATGAGAATAATGATAATTCTGTTTATAATCAACATAATTACGCAAAATTAACTCCAGCAGCATCGTCGAATGTTTTATATCAGAACTATCCACCTTGTTTTAATGAAAATCAACGTAATTTTATTCAACAAAACGTTAGTTTCTCTTCAAACAATCGTAGACTTTATCGAAACCCAAGTAGAACCTCGACCCCTAAAAGAAGTCAGAGAGAGATGGATAATGATCAATCATTTGTAGCTGATCAACAGAAAAAATCAAAATTCTATAATAAAAATAACAGTAATTCACAAAAGTATGATCGAAATAAACAAAGATTACAAGATAATCGTTCACAACATTAATGGTCGTTTGAATCAGTCCATTTCTCCTAAAGCTGATCAAGTGTTAGTAGAGACAAACGTCCAGCGGGGTTATCAGCCATTATATGAAGTTTCGAACGTTCAACAGCAAGCACCTGCTATGGCAACAACAGAATCTAACACAAATCAAATACAGCATCGAACATTTCTAATGGATCATTTGAAGAGAGCAGTGTCACACAATCTGTCATGTTTTTTCGTTCAATTCGATTCAAATTTACAAAGTCGCGACTACCCATCTGCAGTCAAAGCGGGTAGTGATATTTATAAGCATTTAACCGAAAATAACGTTAAAATAAATAAATTCTCACTAGTTAGTTATGCAGGAAACAATTGAAATTGGGCGTTAATAATAAAAACGATCTGTATGAACTATGTAGAACGAATAAATGGCCGACAACATTAATGAATAAGAATGTTAAAATAGTGAAACCAAAATCAATAACGACATATTTTTCTTTAGTACTACGATACGTTCCAAAAAATTTAGCTGATGATTTCGTTTTCAGTGAAATAAAGAAGTATTAATAGTGCAGAAAAGTGTCATCCAATAGTCTATGCTTATGCAAGAATAAAGAAAGATTATCGTTTTAATGTGGGGATTTAGAGAAGTATTACTAGGCCTTAAACTTGGGAAGATTAGCCGTAGGGAATTATTTACTTCCAGTCACTCCTTACTTGCCAGCAAATAAACTTGCCTACTGTTCCAGGTGCTTTAAATTGGGACAAAACTTGATAATAAAACAGATCAAATAGTGAATGAGATTGGGATGATAAATAAGAAACTAGATAAACAGGCTACAGTTATCAAACGGAATGAAACAAATATTATTTTGAACAAAATAATTACAACAGAGTTTATTTCAACAGTAGTGGATTTTATTAATGATATTGGAAAACCAATAGTTAAATTAGTAACAAATGATAAGGTGGATTTAACAAAAGTCATGGATGATTATGTTAAAAAACTCCTCAGTATTGAAGAAAGATCACGTTTAAATTTTCAATTTGAGGATATGCCAACGAGATCGAACAGAATAACAACAAACGCGAAGTTAATTCTGACATTTCCATGAATAATAACTCACTACTTACAACAATGATGCCGAATTCAAGTAATATAACAACGTCAGTAGAAATAGAAGTAAGAAATGGTCCAGAAGAA